CCATTTTCCAGCCCTTCAACAAGAACTTCTGGATGTATTTACTAAGTGAAATAAATAAACTTCTGAAACAATGGTTTGCAGTACAACACACATAGGACTAGTCCTCCAACCTAAGAATGTATACAAGTTTGCATAGAGAGTGCCGTAATGAGATAGGTATCAGCAGACTACTTCTAGTCTTGTTTATGACTTGCTATTTGACTTGAGAAAAGTTGTCCCCCTCCTCCCTCCTAATGGGTCTTATTTCTCACTTTTGTTTAATAAGTATTTGGGCTACAAGATGTATGAAGTTCATTCCAACCGTGAAACTATAAATGTACACATTCTGAGTCCACAGATTCATGGTGTATCCCAGCACCTAGATAGTGTCTTGCACATAGCAGCTTCTCAGTAAATGAACAAATGAGGGACTTTTGTTAATTTTTCTGTGACTGAATACTTGTATGCTATTATTACAAAAAGATTGAGCATCCATGTATTTGGAATTTTGAGGGGAGGGTGTGAGGAGTACAGGATGAGGAAATGTCAAATGTTCACCTTCTTTAGATGCAGCATTTTTTATGAAGCCTCTTTGGACTAAACGTTGATGTACATTTGGTCTAGTCTTAGCACCAGAACTCAAGGACTGGGTTGGTCTTCATACTGATCCTGAGCAGAGTCAAGAAGTGACTTTTGCATATTAGATTGCCAGGTTATTTCTTATCCCTAGAAGGAAAAGGGACAATCAACTGAAAAGTTTTATTTTCTAGTATCCTATTTTGACTGATTAAGGTTTTGACTCAAAACCTAAACATTAATGAAATTGGCATACCACATTTTAAGTGGGCATTATGCCAGTGTAACAGATGGACCTCGAAATTGTCAGTTGATAGCTTGTGTATAAATCTCTAATATCATCAAGTGGAGATAGTCCTTAACAAGAAATGTAAAAAATGTTTGTCAGTTGGCTTCCAGATGCCTTACCCATGCATCATTACACTGTTACACGACTCTGCAAGTCTCTTCAGATACTTAATAGCCCCCAGAGACATCACTGTTAGACCGTGTGGATGGGTAACTCCATGGAAAAATATACCCAGATGACCTGCATCTTCTGTCCTTTCCTGTTGTCTCAGACTATTCCTTACCTTCATTCCTTCCCTGAAACCTGAACCATTTTTATTGAACCATTTTTACTGAAGCTTTATCATGTGACCTTGCCTTTTTAGGAAGACCGTTCTTTCACTCTCACTCAAGGAAGAGAATGAGAACCTTGCACATAGTAAGCAATCAAGACATGTTTGCCTTCTGAGGGACTCTCTCTAACTTCTACAGCGTGGCCACTTTCACATAGTTTTGCCACGTCAATCCATCTTCTTCTTGTGCTTTGAAATTTTAATCTTCCTATTCTTTCATCTTCTATGACTAATTTCTCCCAGCCTCCTAGCTTGTTTGCAAAGGCATGGCCCACCTATTAGCTTGCTTAAGAGGAATACCTGAACTCAAGTGCAGAGAAAACTGAATGTAGGACTGACTATTTATGGTCTTTGCCCAAGAGTAAGCACTGAGCACACTTGTTAACTGACTTCCTGCCTCGTGGTGATCTTGCTGCTGCCTGCAGGTCACTTATGACCTAGTTTATGCCGTCAAGGATTGCTGATTGATGCTTCTCAGTTGCCAAGTGAATTGGCTTTATGGCCCTGAAAAAAAAAAAAGCTTTATCTCATTAAACTCATTCATTGATTCAATGAATATTAAATAAAACCTTCTAAGTATCACACACTCTTCTAGACGCTGGAAAAACAACAGTGACCAAAACAGACAAGGTCCTTGTTCTTGTAGAGCTTACATTTTGGTGACAGTTCGAACTGACACTCTCAGTGGAAACTGAGCTGACCATTTGTTTCATCTTAGAGTGAGTACTCATTTCTAGAGGTGAGTTGACCTCAATATCATCACCAAAAAGTCCCAATTGGCCAACTTTTCTTTTTTGTACATATAAAATACGTTATAAAAGATGTTAGTTATAAAAAATGAACAGTAAGAAAATAATTGGGCATAAATAAATGGTCACACATTTCTCTCAGTTTACATTCAGCACTTCTGGACAAACAGCATGAGTATATGGAAAAATTGTATGCGGGCTGGTAGTTGGTTTGGCATTTTAGCAAGGCTTTTAAAATAATTATAATGTAATGCCTTGCTGTTAATTAATTTCAATCATTTATATTATTTCTGTACATTCTAGTAGGAACTAAAGGTAGATGGTCATATAATTTATTGTTTGAGCCAGAACTGTTTTTGATGGGCAAAGGGGGCATTCTTTAAAAGTATGTTGTGACAATGAGTATAAAAAGGGAACATTTTGGGAAAACCAGAATGCACATTCACCCCAAATACAAGAAACCCAGTCTCACCTAATTCTTGGCATTTTGAAATAGCAAATTGCTACTAGTCTATTTCCTCTATTCCAGGATTATCATTAAGTGAGTTCATCATAACTAGATCAAATTATGTTTCATCAACACTTTTATGAAGCAATTCTTCCTTTAAATCCTTCCACTTTGGGATGTGGGGATTAGACCCTTTTCTTATTAAAAAGGAGGGGGCCTTCAGGGATTCCAGCTCTAATCCTTAGCTTAGATGGATCCAAAGCCCTATATATAATAGTACAATTTATTGAGTGACCAGTATTTTAGACACTTTTATAAGTATTATGGTCAGTCCTTACAACAGCTCTGCCTACAAGAAGATATTACTTACTTTTCCAGATTAAAAAAATGGGAACCAAATGGATTAATTGCCCAAGATGATACAGTAAGTAATAATAAGCAAACTGTATTTGAGCCCACATCTGTCTGGTTCCAGAATCTATTTTTTTCACTATGCTGTACTGTCTCTCTATTCAAATGTATGATAGAAAACTTAGGTGAGATGAAGATATGATGACGATCTCTCCCACGTACTCTGGAGTTTTGTAGCTCTGGTCCCAGACCCATACTAAGCATTTCTCTGCCTCCTTCCACTTTCCACTTTTACACTGGAGATTCACATCTGGTAGAGAAACCTGGAAAATGATAATAACTTCTTATGTCCGAAAGTACTTTTGCGCTCTCACATGGTCCCTGCCCTGCACTCATACCCCAACGCTGTGAAGCTCAGACTTCAAGAACTAGCTCTGTTTGTGTCTCCTCCAGGAAACTTTCTTAAAACCCTCAGGCTGGCTGCCTGCCAACTCTTCTGCACCTCCTACTCCACCTGTGACAACCTGTCTTATACCTTACTATAGCTTTTAAAATCATTTATGTTTCTATCATCTTCAATAGACTTTCTGCTTCTGTGGGGCAGAGATCATGTTTTATTCATATTTTAACCTCTCTGTACTCTGGGTTGCTTATCTTTAAAACAGAGATAATAATAGGACTAATCTCATAACATTTTATTTTATTTCTTAAATCAACAAATAATTGTACATATTCATGGGGTAAACGGTGACTTTCAATACATATAATGTAAGTGATCAGATCAGGGTAATTATTATATTCATCATCTCAAATATTGATCATTTCTTTGTATTGGGAAACTTCAATATCCTCCTTCTGCTAATTTTAAACTATGTAAAATATTATTATTAACTATAACCATATTACAGTGGTATAGAACACTAGAACTTATTCCTCCCACCTAGCTGTAATATTGTATCCTTTTACAAATCTTTCCCTCCTTCCCCCTACCCTTCCCAGTTCCTCCTATCCTTTGTTCTACTTTTTACTTCTGTGAAATCAACTTTTTCTTTTATCTTACACATATGAGTGAGAACATGTGGTGTTTAACTTTCTGTTTCTTAGGTTTATTTCATCAAACATAATGTCCTTCCATTTCATCTATGTTGCTGCAGATGACAGGATTCCATTCTTGTTTATGGCTGAATAACATTTTATTGTGTATATGTACCCCATTTTCTTTATGCATTCATTTGTTGTTGAACACCTAAGTTGATTCCATATTTTGACTATTGTAATAGTGTTGCAATAAACATGTGGGTGCAGATGTCTCTTTGATATACTGATTCCCTTTCTTTTGGTAAAGAAGATTCCCAGTAGTGGGATCGCTGGATCATATGGTAGTTCTAGTTTTTTTGTTTTTTTTTTTTGAAAACTCCATACTGTTCTCCATAGTGATTGTACTAGTTTACATTCCCACCAACAGTGCATAAGAATTCTCTTCTGTCTGCTTCCTCACTAGCATGTGCTTTATTTTCTTTGTCTTTTGATAATAGCCATCCTAAATGGGGTGAAATGATATCTCTATTTTAAAGATAAGCAACCTGGAGCACAGAGAGGTTGAAGTATGAATAAAACATGATCTTTGCCCCCACAGAAGCATAAAGTCTATTGAAGATGATAAGCATTTCTCTGCTGATTAGTGATGTTGAACATTTTTTTTTCATATATTTGTTGGCAATTTGCATGTTCATATAGCTTTATAAAGATAATATTCACTAAAACATTTAGAATCCTTATAGTGCCTGGCACATAGTAAGCTCTGAGCAATGTTAGGTCAATATTATCATCATTTTGTTATCATGGTGAGTGTAGTTAATGTCACATGGTAAAGTACACAAAAACATGCATGTTAAATGCTACTAATTCGTGAAACATTTTTATTGTTATCTATGTTCAGGACACTCTGTAGACTACACTGAAGAAAGAAAAAGAAGCCGTTTAAAAAATAAGGGTGGGAAAAAGGAACAAGATATATACATAAATTATTCTGATAAGAATAGAAAATAGTGATGGAAAAGTAAATCATCAGTTTTGGAACCATCAGTGAGCGGATCATCAGTGTTCTTGGTAGAGAATATTTTCAGACTGAGAGTATCAGGGAAGACTGTAGAAAGGAGATGGAGTTTTTGTTGGATCTAGAGGAAAATATAAGATTTGAATTTGTAGACACTTGTGGTAGGTAGTGGTTTGATGAGGTCAAGATCTGACAGCAATGATGATGTAAGCAAAGGTAAGAAAAATCTTGACAGAGGAGCTATTGTGATCAAGAAGGTGGTTCTCTCAGTCAAGGTTTGTCCATTGTACTCCAGATGCGCTGACCCCTGCAATTTCCCCACATGTGGGAAACCAGACTGCATAATTTGTGGTGGTGGGGGTCTGTGATCCCACATTCTCCTGGTTTAAAAAAAAGGAAAATATTGAGGTTTGTTTAGGATAATATGTCTAGGAGTTAAGCTTGGAGAAGAATGGAAAGATCTTGAATGTCAGACCACAAATTTTGCATTAAATTTGATTTGCTTTCTATTTAATAAAGCATCTGAGTTCTTAAAATTATGAATAAAAATAATGATAAATTATGAACTAGAAGGTTCTCCCTGTTCTTATTCACTGTAGATAATGGGAAGGCAGTTATATGAAAAAGCATTCTGGATTAGATGGCTTGCCTCTGCCTTTGAAGTATGACGCTTAGGTTCTGAACCCAGATCTGGCTCACCATGTGACTCTTATCACGTGCCGCTCCTCCCCTGCCTTTAGCTTCTCCATCTGTAAAGGCATAAATATGAAGAGTACACAGAGATGCATTCTAAAGATATCTCCTGTTCTAAAACCTTTGAGAAGGAATGAGCATGCAATGGGGTGTAGTATTAAGAGCAGAAATTATTTATCTCAATGAAATAGGCTGTTGTTCTTAAGGAGGAACACTACTCCTACCCTTAGCCTACTTTCTAAGCCTATTCAACACTGAAGAGAAATCCTGAGTTTTGTGATTCTTCCAAATATGTACTTTGGCGTACAATTGGAGAACCTAAAAATTAGTAGGCCCTAGGTTGTGGTCTCTGCAATCCAATACTCTTAAATGCTGAATGGATCCAGGTGTTGCTGACCCACGCAGTTCATTAGCGGGAGTCCTCCACTAATAATGTCCATGTGTGGCTGAACCATCCATGGTTAATATTTGTAATCATGGCCCTAAGGCATTGGAAAAATCAAAGGATGCCCTCTGAATCACCAGAAAAATATTAAATTAGAGATAACTCCAGGTTTCTTGTTGGGAGTACATTTTATTATATTTCAATGTTTTGAAAATTGTGACTAGAAGCCTACTGTGGAAGGATCTTTTGTGAGCTAGAGTATGTGACGAATCTGCACATCTCCTTCCTTAACCATTCCAGATAACAGGGTTTTCTGGATTTCTGGAGAATAAGATTATTATTCTCAAGGAGAGATGATCACCTGAGGAAAATCTGGACTATTGAAAAAAAAATAAAAGTAGTAAATCCAACACAATTTTTCCTATTAAACATTTTGCATATAAACTAAATACAGTGTGGGCTTTAGAAATATTTTTATATGAAGGTAGTACTTCAGGAGATTTTTGATTTTGCATCTTCCTCTAGAGCTCTGTACAAGAAAAATATTCTATCCCTGCAACTTCACAAAAATGATTAGGTATTGCATTTGGAAGTACTTATTATCAAAAAGGCGTCTCCCCACCTTTGGGGACTTCTTGCAGGTTGTTGGAAAAAAGCTAAAAAGAGCACCTCAAAATATCCTCAGTGGCTTTGTTTGAAGAACTTTAGAAGCCTTGGAGCCTACTCATGGAACAGTTTTGAGGTGGAGGCAGGCAGGAAAACACTGAGTCTGAGTAACAAAGAAGCGAGAGAACATTAACCTTTGACAGTTCCATAAGTACTCTCACCCCACTCTCGAAAAACAAAACAAAACACATACAGGAATATAGCAAGCAATGTGAAGTCAGTGGGGAGAGGAGAGGGAAGCAGACAGCTGGAAAGTTACTGCAGCAAGTGGAAAGAGAAACCCAAATTGTGAACATCAAAAACGATTCGTAAATCTCTCCTCTCTGCCTTCTGAATAAAACCATACCCTGCCTGGAGACACTAGCCTCCTCTAAGACTTCAGTAATTCGTCCTGATGCACGCAGTACCAGTCCAATCCATTTTCTAGTTTGCAGAGGAAAATCCGGTCCGGCGTTTATTTTTAGCAGCGCTTCCCTGTGACCGAATGCTACAGCTCCTCAGCTGGGATAACTGAGGACCGTATTGGGGAGCGAGGCGAAGGGGGCGGGGGAGCGGGAGGCGGTGAAAAGGGGAGGGGGGACGCCCTGCGCATGCGTGCCAGCGCCCATGCAAATCTGCTGTACATCCAGAGAGCAAAGTGGGATGATCTGTCACTACACCTGCAGCACCACGCTCGGAGGACAGCTCCTGCCTGCAGCTTCCAGACCCAGGTAAAAAAAAAAAAAAAAAAAAAAAAAAAAAAAAAAAAATCTAAGCGGGCACCGTGCATGCATTTCAATATCAGATGCGCGTCGCAACGTATCCCCTGTAGAGGCAATCTGCTGCTGCTCCTAAGTGTCCTTTGGTGGCTGATTGCAGCTTCAAGGTTTAAGAAATCCCATCTTTCAGGAAGCCTGAGGGGAAGGAAGGAAGTACAGGCGAAATCATCAGATTGGCTTCCCAGATTTGGGAATCTGAAGCGGGCCCACATCTTCCGGCCAACTTCCATTGAACTTCCCAGCACTCGAAAGGGACCGAAATGGAGAGCAAAGGTATGTGGTTGTCCCTATCGGGGGACTTCCCGCTGCATGTGCGTGTGGCCAAGGCAATCCTCGGCGAGGGGACTGCAGTGCTTGGGGAGCGAGCATCACACTAGGTCGATAGAGGAGGAGATGCTATGTCCGTTGCAGCACTGGGGAAGTGTGGCAGGAAGGCGACTTCTTTTTCACTCCCACAGCTTGGAAGACGGTGTTTAATACTCCATCAGTTGCGTAGTGAAGTGTGATGAGTTTTTTGGGGGGAGGTGGGGGGAGTCCCCCCAAAATGGAGGAGGAGGAGGTATGTGTTGGTAAAGCAATATCTTTTCTTTATAATGGATGGACTCAGATAAATCTATTTCATTTGCTTTAGAATTGCTGAGAGGCACGTTTGTATCTAATATCCAATAATGCATTGCTAAAAAAAAAAATGTTTGAATTTCACCACCCCCATCTCATGAAGATGGTATTTCTGGGTGTGTATGACCACATCCTACTGCATTTTGAATATATATCAGCAGAGAAATTGGGTCTATTTGGAACAGCATGCGTTAGAACTGACCTCTAAGAAGAACAGTGTATGGGAGTACTGCTTGGTTTCCGAGCATAATGCATTTACTAGTTCTGGACATGTATATTTCAATGTTCTCCTCATAAGCAAATCTGCATAATGTATACATACCAACTGATAAATGAACTGTAAAAATCAACTTCTGAATGGCATATTGAACACACATAAACACAACGAGTATTCTAATCACAAGATTAGATATCTTTTGGATTTAACCCCATCTATGCAGGTCTGTTTCTCCTTTTCCTTAAAACGCCCACCAGGTTGTGAGAGCCTTGAGTGATATGGTGGTCAGATATCCAGGAGGCATACTGGATGTATTTAATTCTGGTGAAATCAGAAGAAATGATGTCAACTTTTATGAAACTATATTCATTACCCAGAACTCGGGAAGCTATATTTGAAACAAGATTTTATTTTTAAACCAGGAATGTCAGTCACTGTGGTAATGTACTTAGGATCAGAGAATGGTGGTGAGTTACCTATTTCTGGGTTGATTAATGAAACTGGAGTGTTGAATGATAGCAGTTCTATGTTCAATACAGTATTTTAAGTATTTAATTGGCAGATTTAAAGTACTTGAACGTAGGCAAGCATTTACAGTATAAAAAGAGCTGAATCAACATGGATTAAGACTAGCCGGCAATTTTCAGTTCTGGCAAATTATTCTTATGAGACGTTGATGGGCATCTCCGTGTCTGACAATGATGTACACATATGAGAGAATCCATGTCTATAAATACACTTGAGGCGTATATTATTAACTCTATTATAAACTTCATTTTAAAATAAAAAGCCAGTCCTTAACACATAAAGGTTCGTAATATTCTAGTTGACTAAGTATTTCTGGGACATAAGGTTAACAACAGAAAAAGAGTATCATTTTACTATGAAACAGTTTTTCTTGCTTCGATGACACCTAGTATTTGTTCACTAAATTTAGTTATTTGACAAGGGTTCTTGGTAACAGTTTTGCCTCCAATGTATATACTAATTCCTGGGCAATCATAAAAAGAGGCTGTATCTCTCAGCAGTCATCTTTTATTTTCCTTCGTTGCCCGTAAAACATGCTACGTGTCACTCAGCATTCCAGGTGGTTTAATGGTCAGATTGCTAACAGTAGAGTTCTAGCTATTCTTTCAGTCTTTTGAGTTCAGAAAGGAGAAAGAATCTCAGAAATATATCCAGAAAGAATCAGTTCAGAAGTTCTATGTCAATCCAGACAGCAGTGATACAGTGAATCACAGCACTGATCCAAAGACAATGAAGACTTCTGCCGTAGGCCAACACTGTGGTCATTTTGCTGAGGTCCCATAATTGCCTCTGAAAAAAAAAATATGATGAAAGTCTTTATGCGTGTTAGTTCCTGGACTTTCTTAGTGAAGCTTTGTCAGCTGCTTGACAATCAGATCAAGAATGGCTTATTACTTATACATTGGCCTGACTTTCTAAGTTGATGCAAATGGCACAGCTAACGATGGTAGCTAACTTGAAATTTTTATTCCAGCCAAAAAGAGCGTATTAAGAGGAATGTGTATTGGTGCAATACTCTAATTGGTGCATCTTTCACGTTTTATGCTGCCATGTGCAAACTTCTTCCCCCGACAGATTCAAATCTAATTCTAGGAAGACATTCCCTAATGTATCTATATATAGTACTTTTCTATTAGAAACTCTTTAAAGATAGAGTCATATTGTATGATTCAGTTGAGGATTCCAGAGTTCTCTATCCCATACCCAGATCTAATGGCCCGTTTAGTCTTGAATCCCATCGCCAACACTTGACAACCTTCACATTACCTCTAGCATTTGAAAACCTTTCTTAGAGCAGTTGTCCAGAGTCCAGAAAGTTGAACTTCAGCTATTTACAAATAAGATCAATTTATTTTTGCTTCCTTATTTACAACTTTGCATCACTCCCTGTCATACACCATAAAGAAGAGAGGAAAATAAATCAATTGACTTGAGGTTCAATTCATGATGTAATTTCAGTGATTTTTGTGCACCATGTTCTTAACATTGTCTCAAAGCTTTGGGTTGGTACACAGTCCGAGCAGCTCTGATGGAATTTGTGCCTTGCATATCTTAAGGGCTTGAGATTCTTAAATGAGTTAAAATGTTTAGTATTTAGACAAGTGGTGCACAAAGTTGGCGGTACACTAGAATCACCTGACATACTTTCTAAACATACTCATCCTGGGATGGCACCCCGTACCAATGAAATTAGAATATTGGGGTGGAAGAAAAAAGCATATATGTTTCCTTTAGAGGTCCCTAGGTACAGCAGTGTTTGAAAACCACTGATTTAGACTCTTGATAGTCAAAATGTGCTTTGCAGACAAATTTTTCAGAACTGCAGAATCTCCATATTTACTCCAGGTCTATTGAGTCAGAATTAGAATTTTGACAAAATACCTAGGTAATTTGTATGCACATTAATGTTTGAGAAGCATGATTTAGAGTGAGGAAAGAGGCTTTTTTCCTTCCTTCCTTCTTCCTTCCTTCCTTCCTTCCTCCCTTTTCCCTTCCTCCCTTTCTTCCTTCCCCCTCCCTCCCTTCCTCTCCTCTTCCTTCCTCTCCCCTCTCCCCTCCCCTCTTTTCTTCTCTCATTTTCTAGCCCTTCTCCTCTCCTCCCCTCCCTCCCCTCCTTTCTTCTTTCCTCCTTTCTCCTCTATTCTCCCCTCCTCTTTCCTCTCCTCTTCTCTCTCTCTCTCTCTCTCTCTCTCTCTCTCTCTCTCTCTCTCTCTCACACACACACACACACTCACCTCCCACTGACCCCCACCTATACCACACTTTTCTTTGTCTAGGTAGATTTCCAGCCTCAAGCTGGCTTATTACCTATAGAAACACCTGTAGAGCTTTTCAAATGTAAAGATGCTTAGGCCAAACCCCTAATAATTTGGGTTTAATTAGTTCTGGGGTGGGATCTTGGCATAAGTATTTTTAAATGGCTCCCAAGTGATGCTAATGGATGACCAGAGTTAACCACTGATGTAGGGCATTACTACTGGTGTTCTACAGACCGGCAGCATTTGCATCACCTGGGAATTTGTTAGAAATACAGAATCTCAGTCCCTACTCCAGATCTGCCAAATCAAATCTGGATTTCAACAAAATCTAATGGTCATTTCTATGCACCTTAACATTTAAGAAGCACTGGTGTCGATCTCGGGGAACTGATTGTATCTGAGAATGAATGACACCACTCCAGGCACCTCAGTAGAGAAGATTTGATATTATCTGACTAATAAATATGAAGGCTCGTGGATATGGGATCATGTTCTAGGTCTTCTGGTTGTTTTTGGAAACAACAAAAATGAAATGAAAAAGACACTGCATGTCTCATAGTTAGATCAGAAAACAAACTTACTTTTAAATACCCTTGCTGCTCATCCTCCAATCACTTACTTTCAATCCCAAATTATCCTTAAATATTTATTCTGTACGTTCATGTTAAGCTCCTGACAAAGTCTGCTGTTAAGTCATGGTAATGTGATGATATTTGACTACTTAAATCAAGGCACTTCTAACAGAGTAAATATAACTTTATCCTTTTCTATTGTCATAACTCTCTGTTCAACCCTTTTGAGATTCCTTTGACATGTCCCTTGCCACATTAAATTAATATTTTACTGGTATATTTTATATGACCTAAGTACTTGTGTGTCCCTCACATACTGGCATTTCTTACAATCAACATTGTGATTTTTGTGCTTTTTATTTAAACAAATATTTACTGAGCATCCGATATGTACCCAGTGTGCCTAGTTCTGAGAATGTGAAAGAAAACTAAAATGCAATCTCTGATCTTGACCATTTCACTCTTCCAGTTTCACCACTATATTAACCTTCTTGTGGGCAAAATCTGAGCCTTTAACTTTCCAGCAACCACCTAGGTGTCTATCTCAGGTAGAAAATTTTAGTTTGCATAGTGGGGACTCAGATTATATGCGTTGGATAGCCTTAATTAGTTTTTTAGGCTGACTTCATGGATCCAGAAGATTGTAAGTTGGGAGAAGTGCAGGAAACTTAGGTACCAGGAGGGCTCCCAGAAACATCAGTGTGATTCCAGAACTTGGAAGGGAGTGACTTGACTTGCTCTCTCAAGAGAGACCTGCACATATATTCCCAAGGAAGATTCAATTCTGTGTTCTAGATTTCATACCAGCCATCCGAGTTCAGTCTGGGCCATGAACCAACACACTTAAGGTATAGAAGAGTCATTTCTCTGAAGCCAGGATGATTTACGCTGCAGGGGAGAAAGGAAATGTCTATGCAGTCATTAGTACATCAGAACTGGAAAGTGGTTTTAAGAAGAGCTATTTTGCGGTTAAACAATAACAACAACAATAAGGAAAGACTGAGCCAGTATAGTGAGATAAGTAAAATATAATTCAGTAAAATCATGATATATAGTCACTGAGCATAGGAAATACAGGTT